CCGGGCTGGGGATTCGAACCCGCCACCTCAGGTGTACGTGGCTGGCGCCTCAGCCGGTTGAGCTATAGGTGCCGAGCCAGCTGACCTGATTTTCATGACTGGACGTGCACTGCTCGTATAGATCAGTACAGTAGGCCTAGTTCCTTGTGTTGACCACCTCTGTATGTATGTTGACCAGTTTGTTACAGCTTACAGGGGTCGTACTGTGTTATATAATTTGTTGTAATTTCTCATTTTTTAGGATCTAATTAGTAGAATATAAAAACATTTTCTTGGATTTTTATATCTATCGTCAGTATGGCCATCTTAGCAAAAATTTTCCCTAGATTCATGGGTTTTCTACTCATATATATATATATATATGCGCAAAAATTTATATAAGCAAAAAAATTATATATATATCAGCAAAAATCTTATATATATTAGCAAAAATTTTCCCTTGATTCCCTGGGTTTTCTAATCACATATTCACATATATATATATGATTAGAAAATTTACATAATCTTAGTGGCAGCAAAATGAAAAAAGAAAGCCTTACTCTTTCTCTTCTTTTCCACTGTCTGTGCCCATTTTATTTCCCCCTTTTTCATTTGTTAAAACTTTTGGTCCCGTTGTATGAAGAGTGGTGGTAGGTATCCTTGTGGAGGCACTGATACGAGAAATATTTTTGAGGTTTTGCCATGTAGGGGATTATATTTACTCTTGGTTTTTATAATTGGCTTTTATTACTAATGTAGGTGCTTTCCATTCCTATTTTACTTAGAAGTTTTAATAGTAATGGTGGTAGTATTTCACCCAACGTCTTTTCAACAACTCTTGCTGTGTCATTCTTCTCCAATTTGTTAACATAACAAGCTAAGTTAATACACTTCCTCTGCACGAACCACCATACCATTCCTGGGAAAGTCTTATTCCAGGTACAATGCGAGGTTCCAACATGCGCTGATATTTTACTTAGAATGTGACCATTTCATAACTGGTATTAGTCTATCCGTTTTTGTAATCTCTATATCAATTTTCAGTGTTAAATGTGCATCAATTTCATGAAAGGAACTGGGATGTTTACCTTTTCCTGTGACCTCCCATAGTTTAAAGAACATTGGAAATAACTATTCTTTAAAAGTTACATAAAATTTATCTCTGAAAATATTTGTTTTTTTAAATATACCTTTTTTAAAGCACCTATTTATTTTTAATGGAAAAATAAAAATTTTGTATTTTTATTGTGTGCAACATAATGCTTTGAAATATGTATACATTTTGGAATGTCTAAACTGAGCTAATTGACATATTTATTACCTTACCAAAAATGTGAGGTAATACGTATGTTAAATCTTCTCTTAGCAATTATTTTAAGAACACAGTACATTGTTAGTAACTCTCTAGTTATCCTGTTGTACGTTAGATCTCCCGAACATACTCCTCCTGTCTAACCCAAGTTGTGGGGCCTTTCTGGTTTCTCCCTTTTCCACTGGACGATCTCTAAACAACTTTCTAATTCTGGTCACTTCCCCAGTAATTCATCTATTGACATTTTCTACTTTTTGGTTCAGTATTAGCAATTTGTATTTTGGGGGAAAAGCGCCCTATCCACTAGGTTTCCTTTTCTTTGGAATTCTATGAAGTAATCTCTCATGTATCTTCTCAGCTCCCCTGTAACTGGTAATTGTAGTTTGGACTCCTTTCTTTTCTTCTGCTTTTAAGTGCTGAGAGGTTTATTTTATTTTGTCTTTCTGAAGAACCAGTTTTAAAATTTTATCTACATTTTAAATTTCTATTCCACTGATTTGATGAATTTCTTATTCTAGTTTCCTTTGGTTTCTTTGTGGTTTTGGCTTATTTTCTGGGTTTCTTTTTAATTTGTAAAGACGTGCATTTAGTTCTGTGATTTTTCGTCTTTAAAGGTAAGATGTGTGAGGCAGCTTCATATACCTTCAAGTATAGCTCCATTGTATCTCGAAAGGTTTGGTATATTTTTTATTACTCTTTACTTTGTAATTTCCTTTCTAAATCCTTCCTAATAATTTGTCGTTCCTTCCTCATTCCTTTTGATCCAAAGTTATCTAGGAGTGGGCTTCTTATTTCTAAGTATTTCAATAGGATCTTCAAACTGCAAACATACTAGTATTTCTTGGCTCGGTGCCTGTGGCTCAAGTGGCTAAGGCACCAGCCACATATATCTAAGGTGGCGGGTTCGAATCCAGCCCGGGCCCGCCAAACAACAATGATGGCTGCAACCAAAAATTAGCCAGGTGTTGTGGTGGGCACATGTGGTCCCAGCTACTTGGGAGGCTGAGGCAGGAGACTTGCTTGAGCCCAGGAGTTAGAGGTTGCTGTGAGCTGTGATGCCACAGCACTCGACCCAGGGGGATAGCTTGAGGCTCTGTCTCAAAAAAAAAAACATACTAGTATTTCCTTCCTCCCTTCCCCTCTTCCTTCCTTCTCTCTTTTGGCTTATGATCAGTGTGAAATAACCAATTTTTTCTGAAGTAGAGAAATTAGCTATATTTGTTGGTAGCCTGTGTGGCTTTGTCATAGTAAAGAGGGTTTTTCTTTGGGCTCTTTGAATAGTGGCTTGCTGAGGCCTGCTCTCACCGATCTCCTCCAAGTACTAAGACTGCTACATTTTTGTCTGACCTTTTTTATCAAATTCTTCTTTGAAGCTATCATCTTTCCAACTTTTTTTTCCAGAAAAATAATGAATTCCATGTATAGCAGTAAGTTTGGAGGTAGGAATTTTTACTTAAGAAAACGACATAAACAAGATGGCATATAGCAGATGATTCATGTTGAAAAGTAAAATGCTTTTATAAGCAGTGATCTCTGTTTCATGTATTTTGAAGTCAAAAGTATAAAAATGCTCGAATCCTTTTCTCCCCACAGACGGAGTATGCAAGGTTTGAGAATGGCCGATTTGTATACCGAATAAACCGCTCCCCGATGTGTGAATATATGATCAACTTCATCCACAAGCTCAAACACTTGCCAGAGAAATATATGATGAACAGTGTTTTGGAAAACTTCACAATTTTATTGGTAACTGTTTCATCTCTTTCCTAGTGGGCCTGGGAGGCACCAGGGCCTGGTCTATAGGAACTGACCAGCCCATTGATTTGGGCCCCTGTTGGTCAGTCAGCATTGACCGTATAGCATCCAGAGGGCACAGAAGGTCTCAACTCTGGCTGCAGGGTAGAAAGATCGGGAGAACATGAAAAAATGCTGATACCCAGACTGCATCCTATGCAATTACATCAAGGTCTCTATGCATAGGACCTAACTATATGTGTTAAGTTCCCTGGGTAATTCCAATGTTAGCCAAGTTTGAGTCTCAGCAGCAATCTGGTGTACAAATCATAAAAGAGGCAAAACATGAGTGAGAAGATTTATACTTACACGTAACCTTGACTCAGTTCATGAAGGATTTGCAAGGCCTTGTAAGAAGTGAAATGCTAATTAAGATAGGACAACATAATGACCAGATAGGACACAATGACCAGAACCTGGGGGAAGAAAATGTTCATCATAGGCTGGAAAATCTGGTTAAATCCTAACGAGCAGCTAAAGAAAAAAAAAAATATAACAGCGTTCAAGGTCTGGGGTGGGGAAACTCGCCAGTGTCCCTGGACAATGCTGTGTGTATGTTTTTCCCTAATACAGTATTTAACTTTAAAACAAATTTTCCTGGAAGCATCCCACAGACTTGGGAAGGCTGTTAGGAACAGAGTCATCCTAAGGCTCATTTTTTAAAAATAACATTCTTTGATTAAACTGGGGAGGAAAAACCAAAACAAAACTTGGTAGAAACATCTTGCTAAAGGGGGCAGCAAGGCTGTATTGTGGCCAAATACTCAGCCCCCTGACCGTCTGTTTCAATACTCCCTGTGATCAGGATTAAGAACTAGCCTGTCTAGAGCAGTAACTCTTTATCTACTGTTTCTGCTTCCATTGGTTCACTGGTTCTCAGTTGGTGGAGTTGGCTTAGGGAAAAAGAAAAAAGAAAGGCTCTTTACCAATGCCCCCAAACCCCTGATTTATACCGCTCGCCTATTTCTGTGGTGTAAATATGCCCTCCAAGGGCAACTACAAGCTAGCAGTGGCTGTTCAACTCATGCAATTTCTTTTTTTTTTTTTTTTTTTGAGACAGAGCCTCAAGCTGTCCCCCTGGGTAGAGTGCCGTGGCATTACAGCTCACAGCAACCTCCAACTCCCGGGCTCAAGCGAGTCTCCTGCCTCCGCCTCCCAAGTAGCTGGGACCACAGGCGCCCGCCACAACACCCGGCTATTTTTTGGTTGCAGCCATCATTGTTGTTTGGCGGGTCCAGGCTGGGGATTCGAACCCACCACTTTAGGTGTACATGGCTGGCGCCTTAGCTGGTTGAGCTATAGGCGCCGAGCCAACTCATGCAATTTCTTAATATTTAACTATAACTTTCGTCAGCCAGTTCTCATACACCACCGGGGAAGAAAATTAAAGATTAAAAACCCTCTACATATGACATTCATCCAGGAAGCCTTTAAGCAGTCTGAGGCCTAGGCCCTGCTACAAGTGAATAAAATCAGAATCCCTGGAGGGGGCCAGCATCACTTTTTTTTTTTTTTTGGTTTACTTTTTAAGGCTCCCCAGATAGTTCTAGTGTATGGTCAGGTTAAGACCACTGCTATAGGGGATTGGCAGGGGAGCTACAGGGAGTCCCAAGTTCACAGACACATGCTGGCAAACAGATCATTTGCATATACTTTTTATTTATTCCAGGGAGAGAATCTCGATGGGTCCCCACGTCCCTCTAAAATTTAGAAACCAGCAATCTGGGCAAATGTTTGAAATGAATGCTCTTTAACGACTTTCTTCATTATTTCCCTTTTCTCTAATGGTCTTTGGGTGAAAACTGAGCAGTTCAGGTTTACAGCACTGGCAGGTAGCAGGTACCTGCACCTGGTGTCTTCTGTTGCTGTTTAAGAACAGATGTAGCACCTTAGCACTCAGATGACTTAGGAGGAGAGTGTGTGGCGTCCTGTTTGTGGACCTTCAGTTGCCTCAGGAATTAACCAAAGCTCTGAATGGATGGCCACCCTACCTCTCTTAGAGAGAGTTTCAACGATTTCTTAAAACCTGTTTCTAAATCTGTTTCAGCATGCTAAGAAAGATGTCTTAAGTCCTTCAATTGCTACATCACGGGGCACAGCTGATATAAATATGGCTAAGAAAAATGTTATCGAGCACCCATTACCCATAGAGCCGGTGTAACCATCATCATGCACCACTTAACAGTGTTTTGCCAAGGACAGACCACATACGTGGTGGTGGTCTCCTAAGATTATAATGGAGCTGAAAAGTTCCTGTTGCCTAGTGATCATAACATAGTGGCACAATTGCTTTTTTCCTTATAAATTTCGTGTGACCTAAGTGTACAGCATTTATGAAGTCTCTCGTGGTGGGGCCTTCACGTCTGAGGCCTTCACATTCTCTCACCACTCACTGACTCACCAGTGCAACTTTCAGTCCTGCAGCCTCCATTCACGATAAGTGCCCTCTCTATGCAAGTGCCATTTTTTTCTTTTCTACCATACTTTACCGTGCCTCTTCTATATTTAGATGCGCACAAACTTATCCTTGTTTTGAAGTTGCCTGCAATGTTCAGTATAGTAACGTGCCATACAGGTATGGCCTCTGTTATTGAGAGTTAGTGTATACAGGTGTGTAGCCTGGGATCAAATGGCTGTACTTACAGCCTAGGTGTGGAGCAGGCTAGACCACCTCCGTCTGAGTAAGTATGCTCTGTAATGCTTGTCCAACAACCAAATCACCTAACGTCACGTTTTTCAGGAAGAAACTCACCTCATTATTAAGTAAAACATCAGTACATATGAGTAACACTCCCTTGGAACAACCAGTACAGCCATCCAGAGAACTCAAATTAATGTCAAGTAAAGTGACTAAATTTCTTTGCTACGAAGAACTTCATAGCTAGAAATAAATAAATGCTAGAACTATTTTAGCTTTAGAAAAACTGAAATTAAGCCAGCACTCCTGAATTATGAAAATAAATCATCTAACTGATGAATAGGAGCCATCGTCCTTTTCGGCTCTTCCTCAGGAGTGGGAGTATAAGAATGTGGCCACCTGGCAGCTGTTCCACCAGGTTAGTGGCATTTCACTAGTGCATCAGATGCAAAGCCTGTGTCATCAAGACCAATTCCAAGCTAGCGCAATGACTCACACTTGGAATCCTAGCACTCCGGGAGGCCAAAGTGGGTGGGTTGTCGGAGCTCTGGAGTTTATCAAGACCAGCCTGAGCAAGAGCCAAGACCTCATCTCTACTAAAAATAGAAAACTTAGCCAAGCATTGAGGCAGGTGCCTATAGGCCCAGCTACTTGGGAGGCTAAGGCAAGGAGATTATTTGAGCCCACGAGTTTGAGGTTGCTGTGAGTATGATGACACGGCACTCTACCCAGGGTGACAGAGTTGAGACCCTCTCTCAGAACTGGGGAAGGTAGAAATTAAACCCTGTGCCTTAGAGATGAAGTCTAATAGGAGCTTTCGTTTTCCTTTTTTGTTTTTGAATCTCAAGCAGGAAGCCTAAGCCAGATACAGTTGCCTTTCAGTATCCTTAGGGATTAGTTCTGGAAGCCTCTGAGAGTATCAAAATCCGTTCAGCTCAAATGCTTAAATTCTTTAGTTAAAATGGTGTCGTATTTGCATATAATACACACACATCCTCCCATATACTTTAAATCATCTCTAGATTACTCATAATACTTAATATAGTATAAATGCTGTGTTAAATAGTTGTTACACTGTATTATTTAAAACAGATGTATTTTTGTTGTTGTATTTTTTTTTATTGGTTTATTTTCCCTAAACATTGCCAATCCACAGTTGGTTGAATCCATCAATGTAAAACCTGCAGGTATTAGAGGGTCTACTGTATATTATTTTATAGAAAGTTTTGAGAAAGTAGACTAGATTGCAGAGGGTCTAGGCACTGTTCTAGAACCTTTATATGTGTATATGTTATGTTATGAAATTCTCACAGCATAACTATGAAGTCACTTTTATTCCCATTATATCCTAACAAGGACTGTCAGGCCTACCTGAGGTCACAGAGCCAGTGACAGACATAAATTAAGACTTGAATTGGTAGAAAAGACACTTGGCAGTATATGTTATAGTCACAAAATCAAAAGACTTGGGTTTATGCCCTTGGGCAGATCAGAGTTTTGCCTCCCTTATAAACAAGATACCCGAGTCTGTATCCTCTACCTTGAGGTTATCATTAAGAATGTTTTCATTCATTCGCTAACTCAGGGAAAGTCAATGCTGGGATGCAGTGCATGTAAAACAGAATGCCTGTCACGGGGCACCTCACAGCTTTCCAGGGAAGTACGTCCGTGCTTTTCAGCCTTCTTTATCTTACACACACTTGAACCTATAGTTAAACTTCCGTGGCACACTTAAATTGTGTTGATCAAAACATAAAATAAAAAATATATACTTACTGTGCTTTGAATGTCTTTTGAAGATAATTTAATCCATGATCTTTAAAATATTTGAGGCACACCCAAGATCGTCTCACAGTATACCAGTGTGCCACGGCACAGCGGTTGAAAATCACTGTAAATGAACCATTGTAAGGTACTGGTGGCTGAAGTGAACTGGTAAAACAGTACAGTGGATGTACAGGGTGAGGTGGGGGATCCTCAGGGCTGTGGCCTTGATGGGGAAGTAGACATCCAAGAAAAGAGACATTTCATGGTTGTCTGCTTAGGTTACCAGGTGCTGGGCTCTGGTGAACTAGACAGGTGGCCACCAAGCTGAGGCCTGGGGAGAGGGGTTGGGGGGCGGTAAGCATTCATCACACCACCACAGAATGAAGGTAAACTGGAACTCCAGCTGTCTGGCAGAGGCATGGTGCTAAGAGCACAGAGTAGGAGGATTTGACCTAGTCAGGGGAACTCTGAGAAAGGTTTCCTGAGGAGGAAAGAGTTGAAAGATGTGGGTCAGGTGAATAGACAGCCGTGAAGAAATTAACCCTCAGGTTCGGACTCTGTCAAAGGAGAGTTATAAAAGCACCCATTCAGAGAGTTATTGTTATATGAGACAATCTGGGTAAAGTCTTTAACACTGAGTAGATGAAGCACTCAATGTATGTTGGCTATTTTAGTGTGAATTTCCTTCATTTAGCGAGTATTAATGGTAAATGGCTATTGTGTGCCATTCTCTAAACTAGTTGCTGGGACACATGGTCCTCGTTCCTCAGGTGAGATGGATGTTAAAGAAACCTACACATCTATATGTGCTTACAGATAGCACAGTGTGCTGTGAGGGGAAAATCAGAAGTCCTGGGAGACTTTATTCTTTAGGTCTACGAAACAAAGCTCTCAAATCCAAACCATGTTCAAACACTGCTCTGACTTGAGCAGGTGCAACAATAACAGCACATCATAGAAGTGTTCTGAGTCATTCAATTAGAGTTGCTTTTGGAAAATTCATTTTGAGAGTGGCACGGGAAATTGAGTCAGGGTCTGGTGGGGAAGGAGCTGTAGTGATTTGGGCCAGAAAGCTCAGGATCTGCAGGAGGCTGAAAAGGCTGAGGGCATGGGCCTGAGGAGCAGAGGAGGGCTCCGAAGGGTGCCACTCAAGAAGGGAACAGATGAGAATTTTGGAAGGTGTTTTGAGAGCCTGCATCAATGAACAGAGTTATCATTTGGCGTGATTTTACCTGTTCCACTGTTCCTTCACTTGGTTGAATCCAGGCACTGCTGGCTAATCCTGTGTGACCGAAGCATTTGTAGAGCTATGTCTGCCACTGCTTGTTGTGAAATAAAATTTAACAAAAGTTTAGGATAGGATAAAGAGATTTTAAATGTTCTCACTACAAAGAAAGACACGTGTGAGGTGATGGATGTGTCGATTAACCTAATTTAATCGTTGCATTCTGTATAGGTATCAACATCACATTGCATTACATAAATATATGTAATTCCTATGCGTAGATAAAAATAACATTCAAAAGATAGAAGACAACTTACTAGAATAAATGTCTTATAGGGGAGAATTATAGAAAATTCTCTTTGTGTAAAGAAATCCAAAGAAAGCCCCAAGAAAACCAAAACCACAAACTGCACTTGTTTTTGTGGTCTCTTCTTGGGCTCACATTATGGGTGAGTTTCTGTCTGTAACTAATATACTATGTGTATTAGTATCCAAACTTTGATGTGATTCAGGTTATACCTATGTGGTTCTGAATTTGTGTTAGCGGACATAGACCAGCCAGTTGTGGTGGCTCACACCTGTAATCCCAGCACCTTGGAAGGCCAAGGCAGGAGGTTCACTTGAGGCCAGGAGTTTGAAAGGGACACAGAGTGAGGCTGAGCACATCTCTCTTGGACTTAAAACCATTACTCCTTTCCGATTAAATTACAGTCTTTGTGCACAGATGGAATATGCTTTCTACTGAGTGGTGTTACATATCTGTACTTTATTTTTTTTATCTTAACAGGTGGTAACAAACAGGGATACACAAGAAACCCTCCTCTGCATGGCCTGTGTATTTGAAGTTTCAAATAGTGAACATGGAGCACAGCATCACATTTACAGGCTTGTAAAGGACTGAACATGGTTATTTATATATATAGATATCTGTATATACACACGTATGTGCACACACACACTCTCTCCATTATCCAACGACTGACTGTAAACCTCACCACGCAGGGTGGTGCCCTGGCCCCGAGGTCACCCCAACTTTTCTAAATCCTGTTCGAGTGGAGTCATTTTTTTCATGTGTTCATACTATCATTGTAGCTGTGAAGTTCTGGTACAGTTGTCAAAAGAGAAATCGAGTTGTTTCTATGTGTTCTTCAGACCTGCAGCCCGCAGTTCCTCGGGAAAGGTGAACCTAACAACCCACGTCTCTCTCCGCAGAGCCCTGTTTCTATTTGTGGTAGAAAATACTGAGACAGAGCATTTGCCACGGGACATTCACAGCCTTTACACAGATGTGTCTAGTTCTCTTTTTTTCCAACATAAAATTCTTGTTTTAAGATACAAGTAAAATTAATCTTTAAATATAAATGTAAATTAGTACACAAAAACTAAGAATCTTTAGACTTATCTTTGTAACTAATTAGGGTGGAAGTTATGGAAGAATGTAATTCACTAAATTATTTTTTAAATGAAAACCTTTCTTTCTTTTTGAAACCAAATGTTAAACTATAGCCTTAAGAAATGCTTGGTAGAAATATCCTAATGAGACAAATTTGTACTTTTTTCCTCAAGGTTAAAACTAATCTCCTAATCCATTAAACTCTTGAACAGATATTACAGAGGAAAAAAACTTCACCCCTTATCCTTAACATATATAGTATATTTAAAAAATATAAAATTGTATTGTACTAATGTGATGATTGATTATTTAATGAAAGAAAAGATGGCTCTTTTTGCAATAAGTAGATAAATACTGAAAAATCTAAACTTACAATGTTTATAGTCTTGTGTTGTCCAGTTATATTTTACTGCGGACAACCAAATTTTTTTATTAAGATGAGTAAATATTTGAACCACCGAAATTTAATAATGAAATTTTAAAATTGGCATGAATACTGCACTGTGAGATGCAAAGTATAGAGAATCCTGTGGCTGGGAGAAAATTTTATTGACCAGGCAAGTAAAAGGCTCATCGGTTTTAGCATCTCTGCTCCTTAGAGAATTGCAAGCATCCTCACCAGCCTGTGGATAAATTCTTTATTTCTGGTGGCCTAATACGCATCTTAACCGAGTAACTATAGCATGTGTGTATGAATGTGCCTACACGTACATACACACGTATAGTTAGTCGGCACATTTACTGAACATCTGTTTGGTGTCGCCCAGTCTGCTTAGGGGCTGACATGTGTGCAAATCTCAATCTGTGTCTCTAGACTTGGATGTATCCTCTCTACAGACATCCCTTTCCTTAACATCTCAGTAAAACACAGGACTTGTTGTACTCAGTTTCAAGAGGCCCAACTGTCTATCTCTGACCTTTCAAAAAGGCTCATTTGAAGGGACTATTCTCTTTCCAGGAGAGACCCCCCCCCCCACCCCCCGCATTCCAGATATCCCACAGCACTGCCCAGACCGAGTTGGTTTGATAGAGCCACGTGTCTTGGGAGACCTCCGTTAAGTGTCTGGTGCCCCTCCCAACTGCCCAGAGGAAAATGATGTTCTTTCTTATAAGGGGTAAGAATAGGCTATGATAGTAGAACCTGAAATAAGTTTTCTAACTTGTAAAACATGTCAAGATTTTTTTACCCAGAAAATAAAAACTTAGTCCAGATATCTCTAAATAACTTACATACCCCTTTCCCTGTCCAGCCACCTGCTTTGACTCTGCTTGTACTCCGGTCAGTATCTTGTAGGCATGAGCATGAGGGTGTGGCTAGCTTGTGGCAAACAGGAAAACTATGGACTAAACCTCACCTCTCCCTAATTATCACTGGTCACTGAGAAGACCAGAGGAGAGAATGCAAAACTTTTCCCATTTGGACTGCCCACCCTGTACCTAAACCAGTAGAGCTGTGCTGCTCTTCCTCGTTGTTCCAGGGCAGCCTTTGAAGATTGCCCCTGTTATCCACTCATGCATCTGGTCTTGAGCTTCTTTTATAGACCAGTCGTGTTATGATGACTTCTGTTGGACACCCCTCTTAGGGATGTTTCTTTTGCTCCAGTTACCTTCATTCTTTCCTCCAGGGAACCCCCGTTCTCTCCCAGGACCAGGACTATGTGACTGGGTTCAAATGGCTTAAAGCTGGGCCATCCAGAATGTGAGGGGGAGAGATTATCTGGTTCATGTTCCCACCAGGAGGCTCATTGATGCTGCCAAGAGGGCTCTTGGGACTTATTTCTGAAAGCCCAAAGACTCTGGGACCCAAGAAGACCAGCTCTAGGACAGTTCTGTAGCTTGCAGAGAAGGGCATGCCCCAGCTGCTGACCTCACAGGGTCGGCAGGGCCCTCCAATGCTTCATCACTCGCATCCTCTTCCTGGACGCCTTTGTAGTTGAGTTTTGTGCATTTACTAAAGTGACCTTGAAGATTACTATTTGCTTTTAAAACATTTCTAAGGTTTTTTTTTGTTTTTTTTTTTTTGAGACAGAGCCTCAAGCTGTCCCCCTGGGTAGAGTGCCATGGCATTACAGCTCACAGCAACCTCCAACTCCTGGGCTCAAGCGAGTCTCCTGCCTCAGGCTCCCAAGTAGCTGGGACCATAGGCGCCTGCCACAACACCCGGCTATTTTTTGGTTGCAGCTGTCATTGTTGTTTGGTGGGTCCGGGCTGGGGATTCGAACCCGCCACCTTAGGTGTACGTGGCTGGCGCCTTAGCCGGTTGAGCTATAGGCGCCGAGCCCATTTCTAAGGTTTTTAAAAGTTTACTTCTTGTCTTGTTCTCCTCAAGCTTTCCTCTGGACAGTTTCACTGTCTTAACTACTGGTCTAGTTGCCCCAAACGCTTAGGCCTCTCCTTGTCTCTCCCAGATTAGACCGTTGGGTGGGACTGGTGTCATAGCACCTAATCCAAATCTCTTTGGTCCTTCATTCTATATGACCGTCTTCTCCCTGAGTCTTAACAGCTTCTTCTTTTTTGACTTTTGTTGCCCAGGCTGGCTGAAGTGCAGTGGCATAGTCATAGTTCACTGTAACCTCAAACCCCTGGGTTCAAGTGATTTTTGTGGCTCAGCCTCCCAAGTAGCTGGAACTATAGGCATGTGACACCATGCCTGGCTAATATTTCTATTTTTTTGTAGAGACAGGGGTCTCACTGTGTTTCCCAGGCTAGTCTCAAACTTCTGGCCTCAAACAGTCCTCCCACATCAGCCTCCCAAAGTTCTGGATGACAGGAGCCACTCCACCCAGCCACACTTTTAACCCATGAAGATGCCTTCCCAGAGTCCTGTCCTCACGACCCTGTTTCAGGTGCTCTGTCTCCTGCTGACCCTCTAACGCCAGCTTTGTGTCTAGGCTTTGTTCTCATGCTTCTGCTGCAGAGTTCTAGGGCCAAATTTCCACAGCCTAAGCAGTGAGGCACTGATGATCTGGGCTCTGGTCTGTTGGGATTCGTTTCCATCGTAGAGAGAGGTCGAAATTATATCCAGGACTTCAGCAGAATGTGTCCTAGGATCCTAGAATGTCCAGGCTACTCAAGACCCAGGGGTTCTCCACCTCAGCACTCTTGATGTTTTGGACTAGACAGTTCTTTATTATATACAGGGCTTGTCCTGGGCATTATAGGTGGTTTACTAATCTCCCTCCTCCAGGTTCCACAACCTGAAGTGTCTCTAGACAAACATTGCCAAACATCCCTTGGGGTGGAAATTCACCCTCAGCCCAGAGCCACGAGATCCCACAGGTCACAATGCACAGTTGAAGTTATTCCCCTGCAGAGGCTGCTCTCCTGGGAGCCTTGTTTCAGGCCATCAGGAAGTAGGTGGGCATGTTAATCAAGGACACAGTTTCCATGTTTCTTCTTATTCCAAAACTTCTGTTTCACATCAGTCTCTTTTATCACAAGTAATTCATTCTTCCCTGGGGAAGTGGGAACAGCTGGTCGCCATCATCCCTGCAATCACACCTATTTAAACGAGCGTTTCCGATTTGATCTTCATCCCTTGGTTTGCCGGGGTAAAAAAAATAAAATAAAACCCCCAGCAGTTGTCATTATTTCTTATAAGCTCCTGGGTGTCATCATCAAACATCTTGTCTCATAGATTTCCTCTGGGCTACTTCTGCCTGCCTTACAGTCAGTGCTATGTGTAGAATTTGTTGAAACCTCTGGAACATTTAGTCTTGGCGGGGGGATGGGGCAGGGGATAAGTTTCAGGAGATGGCCCATAGAACTTTCCCTTCTTGATCTAAAAGTGAGCCCAGCCTACTCTCCTTCATTTTATGAACAAGGAAGTTGAGACCTGGAAGCAAGATGACATGTCCAAATGACCCACCTGGTAGTGAGGACTTCTGTAGGATTCCTGCCCCTTTATCCTCGGCCTCTAGCCTCTCCTGGTGGAGGCTGTTCTTCGGTGCTCTAGTTTAAATGACCCTAAGGATGTGTGGACAGGGTTGGATCAGAAGGGGAAGATTCAGGACCCCTGTGCTAAGTAGCATCACCCCGACACTGCCCCCACACTGGAGTGTCGTGCCTGAGAGCAGCTGTCTGAGGCGTCCACACGCAGCTGATGAGCCTTTTTACTTATTCTGGGGAAAATTTACCTGCCACAGGCTCCAGGTCAAATTTCTATATTTGCTAAGCATCCCAGCAGCAAAGTTCTGCCCTCACACCAGCCAAAAAAAATAGCCCCAGTTCCAAGTACTTGGTGTTGAAAAGTCCCCGAATGACTTTTAAACCCAAGTCGCCTTTAGGTTTTAATACTGTGGTGGCTTTAGCAGTTGTTTGTGTACAACCTTAAATTATTTAAATCAGATGAGCTGACAGTCAATTTTGCAAACCAGGTACATGTTGTATAATTTTGTACATGCTCTGGTACACTATGCCTGGACTAATGAAGGGTAGAACTAATTCTGTCTGTCGGTGTTCACACCTGTGACATTAGGAGGATATGTCTGCATTGCTTCTTTCTTTGTGTTGATGTTTCTGTGGCAAAGCCCTGCACTTGTCATTTCTGAAAAGCCTTAAATCTTCGAGATGTTGCATGTAGGGTATACAGTGCAAAAGGCTGCCTCGGAACTGTGAGCCCTTTTGTAAGCTGGAAGCATTTCTCTTACTACTGTTACTTTTCTAGGAAGTTTTCAATTCAGAGCTGCCAAAGCGTTCCAGTAAGCAGTGCCTTAGTAATACCTTAGTCGTGCCGCCAGCCTTTTCTTACAGCAATTCCTCGCGTTCATTTAAGGATTGACCCACTATTTGAAATAGAACAAGCAACACTTGTTTTCATTTTCTGTTTCTTTGAAGCCCATTTTCCTCCAGTTCTGTAAGACACTGACTTCTTGGTCTAAAATCTGAACCTGAACACAAGTCGGTTCTTTGACCACGCTCTCCAATGTATATACCAAAACAAAAGGTTGCAACTCCGCAGTTTACTATGAAAGCAAATTGTACTTTTAATGTTGCCTTTTAAATTCATGACCAAATACTTAGCTATTTGTGAATCTTCTGCACTCTAGCATGAAAGTGCCTTTGGTTTGAGATTCCAGCTTAGAAAAGTGCTGCCATAATAACGATAATTTGTAGAGACCAAAAATATTTCGAGATCACCGTAATGCCTTTGGTTTACTGGGATGAGTAACCCACCACAGGCCTCTGTTCACAAAAGCACGACGTGGTCCCCACCCACTGCTAGTCTGCCTGCCAGTGGGACCCCCAACATCACTTCCCCGTAGCACACTGCAGCAGGAGGGGCCCGGAAACTGTTGTGTTGTGTGTGC